GGAGGTGAGCGGGCATGTGGAGATGGGAGGATGTGTGGTCCATGCCCACCCCAGGCTGCCTTCCTCCTGTGGGTCCACGCTTTTGTCCCAACTTTCCAAGTAAGTGAAAGCAGTCTTAAATACAACCACCGTCACCTCCTAATCCAGCGCCTCTTTGGCCTAACCATCAATCCTGAAACATCCTCATCCCAGCCCATATCCCACAGCACCGACTTCCCCTTTCCGCAGCATTATCAACGATTCATTGCTCGTGGCACAGTTCTAACAGACAGTATTGCATCCTTTTTCCTTTTCAAAGGGTGCTGAATATTTGACTGTGCACATTTCATATGAGAGGAGGGCAGAGAAGAATCTCTTGAGCCCTCTTGTTTCCTCTCTGTTTTTTCTTTTCCTTCGCTTTTTTGTCTCCTTGGCACTGGCACCTGATCTGAACATTTGGATCATCTGTCCGTTTAGTTCTGGCCCAGGGCTTCCTTGTTGACTTTCATCAGGTGCCCACAGCTGCCCTGGTCTGTTCAAAGCTCAGTTCAACACAGAAAGCAGTCGCTGGACGACTGAGCCTTACACCTCTGAAGGGATCTGTCCTTCTTAAATGTCTCTGTACATATAAATGCTTCTGTCCCCATACTGAGGTCCTCCTGTGTGTTGTCTGAGATGGCAGGACACATTTAATGTTATTTTTCACATGGTAAACAATAGGAAGTAACGGTCACATGCATTCTATCAAAATTGTGTGTATTGTGATTTCTTGGTGTTGATTATTTCAATATTATACTTTAATAGCATACATTTGTATCAGATAATGATGGCTACTCCTATTCTTACAATTGAGAGGAGTCTAGGCTAATTTCATTTTACCATAAAAAAGTAGGTGGGGAAGAACAGGGGTGCCAGAAGGGGAAGCATCAACTCCTGGGACAGGGGAAATTTCCCTGATGTCACTTCTTTGGGGTTCTAAATGACTCCTTTGCCTGGATGTCCAAATCTTTCCCAAGTTTTGGGGAGGTCTGGTGCAGTGTCTTCAAGTGGTAAGTGCCTGCCTAGCAATTTTGAGGCCTGAGTTCAAACTCCACTACCAGCAATCATTCAATCAATACAAATCTGAAACAACAAAACCTGTAATCTCACAAAGATTTGGGGAAATGTCAGCTTTTATTTCATTGGATAGGATTTCTGTTTCTTTATCTTATAACTCTTCTCTGTCATATATTATGATTGCATGCAACTGTGGTCTTTGAATGGCATCAAAGATATCCAGTATGTTATGTTCATTGTTTCTTCCATTTTCTCTTTGTCACGGTCAGAATGTGAAGTTCATCAGACTTAACTTTTATCTTTGATATTCTATGCTCTTTTAAAAAATTATTGCAGTACTGGGACTTGAACTCAGGGCCTACACCTTGAGCCACTGCACCAGCCCCTTGTTTGTGATGGGTTTTTTCAAGATAGGATCTGATGAACTATTTGCCCTGGGTGGCATGAGCCACTGGCACCTGGCTTCTTTTTCTTGATCTAGTCTATTGCTGTGGCTTTGAACTGCAGTTTTATTTGACTGACACAGTTTTTGTTTTCCAAGACTTCTCTTGGCATGTTTTCTAGTGTTCTTTTAATTCCAGTTGGACTTTATTGTATAATCTCCCTGTGGCTTCTCAGCTGTGATTAGTGAATCGTGACAAAAGGCATTCTATGTGAATGCCTGGGAAACTCATGTTCTCCTATGTCTCCCAAGAGTGGAGTCTTCAGGTAATTTAGGATTGTGTGATATAGAACAGAGAATATGTGGGGCACATGCTCTGAGGTAAGTCCTACAATGGGCATGGAAACCCCTATTAGGAGGTGTGTATTCCGTGGGCACTGTTCTCAGTGGTATTTTATTGAAAGTGATTCTGATATGTGCTGCTCCCATTGTACTGAAATGTCTGATACAGCTAGTTGGTATATCCCCATGGGTTTTTATTGTTGTGTTGGTGGTTTGGGGCAGCAAATAAAACCATTGGGAGTTGAACTCAGGGCCTCCCACTCCTTTGAGAAAAAATATGCATTTGGCATCACTTCCCAATGCAGAGGCCAGTGATGCCTCCTGGGCAGCGCTCTTCCACTTGAGCCATGCCCCAGTCCTTTTGCACTGGTTATTTTTGAGGTAGCTTTGCTTTATCCCAGGATGGCCTGCTGTGTGACTTCATTTTTGTGATTCCCCATAAAGCTTGGATGACAAAGATCTTTCAATCTCTGCCTCCCAAGTAGCTAGGATTTCCCTTAGTTTAAAGCATACACCAGAGTACCAATGAGACTGGGTTGTGACACCTTGGAGTAAATTACTATCAGTTAAGTTGTTCGTATATCTGTTAGGCAGAGCACTGGCCTAATGGACAAAAGGTCCTCTGTTTGATCCCCAGGACCATAAAGGGGGTGGTTGGGAGAAGAACTACTGAAGAGTACAAGAGACAAAAAATACAAAGTAGAATGCATAGGAATAAAATTTTTTAAATAGAAATAATAAAAGGGGATAAAATGCAAGAAGGGAAAATGACAGAGAGGAGGAAAAGTCCAGTTATAGAAAAAATAATGAAGAAAGATAAAAGGAAGTGGGCAGCCTCTCTTACGACCCTCCCACAACTGGAGGATCTACTCTCCCACTTTATACTTTCAATCTTAAAAACTATCCTGCTTTACTAACAAACAAAAAAGATAAAAGAAAAACTATGAGAAATTACTAATAAAGATAAAAGAATAGATAGGGAAAAATAAACTAGAAAAGTTCCTGGGTGGTAACACTTCTTTTCAGTCTTCTAAGGCTGGAATCTGCAAGGGAGATTGTCAGTCACTCATGCAAGTACTTCTAATTCATCTCAGATTCCACCAAATAATCTAAAGCAGGCTGTAGACTGCAAGTCACCTTTCTCAATGAACATTTAGGACAATGCTGAGGACACCTGAGGAATTTTCTGTCTGGAGTCTTTTAGGTTGCATATTCAGCTGTGGCATATGTCAGATTGCAGGGCACACTTCTTGCCAACCAAGGTTTGACAGAAGGTGCACATTCCATGCAGGTGTAAATGTACCCTGAACATTTTCAGACTGTGTGCTTAGGAATATTACCAAAGTCCAAACTCAGTGCATTGCTGGAATTCAGCAAGGGTATGGAGAGCAACAGAAGCACCCAATTCTGTATTGGATGGGAGGCTTGTGGGGAGTGAATGATTACCTAGTGTCCACCCTAGCAAATCTCAAAATCCCACTCCTTGAGAAAAAATACTCATCTGTCATGGCATCCCAATACAGAGGGCAGTGTTGCTGAATGACTGTACTGAACTCCCTTTCTCTCACAGCCCATGAAGCCTAAAACTGTATGGGTGCTTGTGTCAGAGACACTCGCCAATAGCCACAAATGGTTCACATGGCCATTGCATCTCAGTAAGTGCAGAAAGGTTGGGTGTACATAGGGACCCTGGAGTGTGATTCTGCTGGGTTTGGTGATCCCCAAGGCAGTTTATTCCCTAACAATAGGACCTTTCTCCAGATGACTCTTGGCTGTAGCAGTCAGGGTTTCTCTGACCATCAATAAATTTGTTCTCCAGAGCTACCTCATTGTGCAGACTCCAGATCACCTATTCATTCACTCTTTTTCTGCAATGTGCAGTCTTCTTTACTATGTTGTGATTCTTTCTTTGAACTTTAACTCCTCCAAGGGGAGAATTCCCTTGCACCCACCATAGTGCTAGGTGCCAGCATCTAGGGCATTCATTAGTTTGCTTTGTTCTTCTCTTTAGCCTCTTTTATCAAGCAAGTTTCCTGTTCTATGCCATTGATTTCCAGAAGCCAACTGCAGGCAATCATCTCTAGGAGCAGTTAGTTACACACCGTCCCTTGAAAGAGCCAAAATAGTGCTGAGTGTTTCTATTTTGACAATCTTAAAGCTGAACATTAATATTCATGCACTTAAATATGCCCATCCATTTCGTATGGTGTTTTCTTTTTCTTTATAAGGAAATACGCTGTTCTTACATGCACAAGATGTTTGTGACTTCTCAAAGTGTTCACGTTGTATCTACCCGTTTCAATGTGTACTTTATTCTCATGGACTATAAGGAGTTAAAATGTGTGTTGTGACTAGATCCAGTTTGTCCTCATCTTGTATATTAAAGAGATTGTGATTTCTGCCACTACTGTACAAAGTCTGTCAATTTTCAGTGTACCCAGAGGACGCTTAAACACTGTCCTCCTTCCTCATGATCAGATTGTGAATTCTTCAGTTACTGGAGTCTTGAATAGTGAAGAGTGGTGGCTCTGCATTCCTGTGAGAAAATACCTAAGAAAAAAACAAGTTAAAGGAAGAAACTTTTATTTGGGGCTCATGTTTCAGTCCTTCTACAGCAGAGATTTCCTTGTTCCCCATGTGCACAATGTCTGTCAATGGAAATTTTCTCTTAATTTACCATGTACACATCTCTGTTGTCTACAATTGTCCATGATTCACACTTGAAACCTCTACATTTACTCAACTATTTTCCTAGAAATCTGCCTGTTGCTCTTTCTAATTTCTATTGCATAGGAGTGGGCAGTGCTAAAATTTAGGTTGTTTTTTGCTCTGCTGTGTAATCTGAAGAAATCTTTGTAGATTTTAAAATGTGAGATATACCTACCTAGTGCTGCCAGGTAGCAGTACAGCACAAAACCTTCAATTTCTCATTGTATAATGGTTTTGTTTTTTTGGAAATATTAGATGACACTGGTTTGGGGAGACCGAGAAATGATTAAATGTTTTGTTCTGACTATATATACTGTAGCAAATAGAAATAGTTAAATTTGGTTTTCTCTGAGTTATCCCAAACTTGTATCCTCTATCTCAAATAAATCCTTATATTGAGTACCCTGGTGAACACCCTTAAAATTTGATTTACAAAGGTTTCTCTCAATTGGAAAGACTTAGAAAAATATACATGAGTATGTGTTGATGGAATGTTATCTCTAACAGAATTTGGTAACCCATTTTAGTGATTCTAGGTATTATATTTTTCTGGATAGAGTTTGCTCAGCAAAGTCTTCTTCATGGTGGTCTTGAGTTCCTTGTTCCTGAGACTGAAGATGATGGGACTGAGGAAGGGTGTGAGGACTGTGTAGGTGATGCCCATCAAAGTGTCTTCTTCCAGGGACTGAGGCCCCTTGGTTTTGAGGTAGATGACTGAAGCAAAGCCATAGTGCATGATCACCACTGTGAGGTGGGATGCACAGGTGGAGAAGGCTTTGTGCCATCCTTCACCTGAAGGGAACCTCCAGAGGGAAGTCACAATGAAGGCATAGGAGAGGAGGATGAGAAGGAAGCAGCCCAGTAGGGCTGATACACACACCAGGCCCACACCCTTGCCCACCAACAGCACATTTGTTCCACAGGCCAACTGCAACAGAGGTGTCACATGACAGACAAAATGGTGGATCTCATTGGGTCCACAGAAGGTGAGGTTAAATATGGCTGTTGTGACCACAGTCCCCATAATGGAGCCACCAACCCAGGACCAGGCCACCAGACAGGCACAGCCATGGGGGCTCATGAGCACATTGTAGTGCAGTGGTTGACAGATGGCCACATAGCAGTCATAGCCCATGACAGTGAGTAGGAAGGACTGGGTGAAGCCAAATGTGAAGGAGAAGAACATCTGGCAGGCACAGGCCAGGAAGGAGATGGAGTGGTGGGTGGACAGCAGGTCGGACAGCATGCACGGGATGATGGCCAAGGTGTAGAGGATCTCAGAGATGGACAGGGCGCACAGGAAGAGGTACATGGGTGTGTGGAGGCTGCGCTCACTCCAGATGGTGGCCATGATGAGCAGGTTGCCCAGCAGTGTGAACAGATACATCAGCAGAAACAGCAGGAAGAACATCAGCTGAAGGCGGGGAAAGGTGGAAAAGCCAATAAAGATGAACTCAGTCACTGCTGAGTGATTGGCTCCTTGCATGGAGGCTGTGCCTGGGATGAGGTTCAATAGGGAGAGGTCAGCTAGTGGGTGGGAAAGGTTTCTCCTTAATCAGGTAGCATTAATTTAGTTCCCACCTATAACTTAATGCTCTTATCAAAGTAGGAAGATGGTACCATATTTGCGTCTTCATCTTGAGTTTTGTTGGCTTATATATAGAGAATACTGGCATGTACAAAGGCTATGAATATTGCTTGAGTGATGGAGGTGTGGCTGAAGCAGTAGAGCACCTGCCTAACAAGCACAAAGCCCTGAGTTCAAACCTTACCACTGCAAAAAAATGTTGCTCAGGTTGAAGCTATGGAAGTGCCTAATTCAAGATTTGATTCCAAAAACTATACCCTGCACTTTTCCTCTACTTTGGTTCCCCTACTGAAAAGATCTCTTTAGTGGATCTTTTATCCATTGCTTCCTATGGATATAACTCCTTGGACCAGGAGCAATTTTATCTTAATTTACATCAGTCAGATTCTTCTTCCGGGGTTATTCTTGGGGGATCAGAAGCAACAGATTGTGTTGTTCTAAGGAAAGTGACAGAAATGAAAATGTTTTGTTTTCTAGCCTCCATGGGGCATATCAGAGTCTACACAACATAACTACAGAAAGAGGGAGATGGAAGGAAGAAGACATGGATTCATATTCCTACTCTACTATGTACTTTCTGCATGTTTTTTCACCCCTCTGTCCTTCCATTTCCTCTCCCTAACTCAAAGGGTGAGAGGTAGACATTTGTCAGAAATTGAGTTCTCCTTGGAAGATGATAATCCAGAAAGTGCATTATGTGATAATTAAATCAACATAATAAAAGAGAAAATGTACCTGGTGGTGCTCAGTAAATAATCCAAATTAAATGAGATTTCAGTGTTTCCTTATGAATCATCTAAGTATACCTGATTTTTGAAAAATAGACAATGGAGCTAGGAGGGGTGGCTCACACATGCCATCCCAGCTACTCAGGAGGCAGACATTAGGAAGTTCACAGAATGAGGATAGCTCAGGCCAAAAGTTAATGAGACACCATCTCAACAAATAAGCTAGGTCTGGTGGTCAATGCATGTCAGCCTTGCTAGGCAGGAGGAATAGGTAGGAGGATTGCATCCAAAGCTGGCTCAGGCAAAAGAGCAAGACACTGTATGAAAAATAACCTAAAGCAATAGGACTGGAGGTGTGGCTCAAGTGGAAAAGCTCTTGCCCAGCAAGTACAGTTCCTTGAGGTCAAATTCCAGTACTATCAAAAATAAAATAAAATGAACAAAATTAGACAATGTAAAGTTGAAATGAGTACACCATTGTTCTGCTTTCTATTTCTGTAGGTAAGTCCTACAACATGTGGACTTTTTGGTTTTGGTGGTACTGGAGTTTGAACTCGGGGCCTAATCCTTCCTAGACAGGTATGATACCACTTGAGCCACTCCACCAGCCACCTGTTTTGTGTTGGGTATTTTCCAGATAGAGTCTCGAGATCTATTTTCCTGGAGTGTTTTCAAACCTTAATCCTCTAGATCTCTGCCTCCTGAGTAGTTAGGATTTCAGGCATGAGCAAAATGCTGTCTTTTGCATCTCATTTATTTTGTTAACTCAGGTTTCAAGATTCATCTACATAGTGACATGTTCTTTTATAGCCAAACATGTCACTAGATGGATATACTTCAGTGGATAGACATCTGGGCTGTTTTCTGATATGGTGATGGGTGTACATGTTTACAGAAATTTGAAGCAGCTGACAGGTAGTGGTGGCTGGAGCAAAGGGACAGTGTGGAGTGACTGCTATTGGGTCCAGAGTTTCCTTTGTGGGTAATGGAAATTTCTAGCACTAGATAGAGGTGTGAGTTGTACAACATTGTAAGTGTGATTCATGCCACTAAATTTTATGTACTACTTATTTTTGTGATGATTTGTTTTACAAAATGTATTATTGATATTATTTTCATTTGTCTAATCAGAACCGTATACGTTTATGGAGTACACATGATATATACGCTGTGTGTGTATGTACGATTAAATCAAGCTCACGACATTTATATTTATATTACCTCAATAACTTATTGTTTTTTAATGTTTTGATGGGAGTGGAGTTGAACTTAGGACTTTGTGTTTAAAAGGCAGGTGCTGTACTGCTTGAGCCACTTCTCCAGTACATTTTGCTCTGCTTAATTTGATGATGGAGTATTGGAAACTATTTCTATAGCCTGGCCTCAAACCATGGTCCTCCTGATCTCAATCAATCTGCAAGTAGCTAGATTTACAGATGTGAGCCACATGTACCTGGCTTATTTTAAAATTTTTAAGGTGTTATTTGAAGTGCTGGGCTGAAGACCAGGGCCTATGTATGCTAGGCAAGCATTCTACCACTAAGGTATGCCCCACCCTCTTTTATGGTAAGATTTAAATATTGCTCTCTTGCTTATCTTGAACCATATAATATACAGTTGATGACAGAATTATTCCCCCTGCCCTATAATAGATCTCAACACCTATTCCTTCTATCTATCCAAATTTTTCCTCTTGGATCAATGCCTCATTCCCTCCTAACCCTCTTCCTTATGCCTCAAAATTGATTAAATGGTCAATTTTATGTACATTTTTAGCACAATAGGAAATCACTTTTAGAGCTGGTAATGCAGCTCCGTGATAGAGCACTTCCTTCACATGTGCAATTCCCTAGGTTCCATCCTCAGAAGTGCCAAAAATTCAGTTTTTATTAGCCTATATTAAATTGCACAAAATAATGGGTTTCAGAGTTTGGAGGAGTGGCTCAAGTGGTAGGGCACCTGTGTAGCAAGTGTGAGCCCGAGTTCAAATCCCAGTTCCATACCAAAAAGGTACGGGCCATCATTATGACATTTCATACATGAAACCTCTCTCTCCATTTTCACATGTCCTCTCCTCTGTTTCCTCTGCTTTTCTAGTTATTGGATTTAGAGCCCACCCTAATCCATGACAATCTCATCTCAAGATATGTTCCTGAATTAAATCTGCAAAGACCCTCTTTCAAACAAGGCACCATTGTGAAGTTCCAAGTGGATATGAATTCTGGGTGTGTGTGGGGGGCACTGGTCAACCAACACAAAGCTTTTGGACATGTGGCTGCTGTGTGCCCCAAGATTATCCCTCTTTCAAATGAGTACTGGCCTTTATCCCTGCTAGGTAGATATATGCAGAATAAAGGACAATGTTATCATGTCTGGCTGAGTGTTCACTGAGTGTCATTGCCAGTGTATATTTTGGAACCAGGGTACCTGGGTCTCTGTGGAACTCTGTCTGCTTTTGCACCTGTGCACATCTTAGCTCTATAATACAGGTGCATGAGCAGAGAGTGCTCCATAGGCTGGATAGTGTCTCTTGAGAAACCAGGGCACTGGGACAGGATCTGGTAGCCTGCTTGCATATGCACCAGCTTAGAGCTGAGTCTGGAAGCCTGCAGCAATGAAAAGGACCCTGGGTTTATTCTCACATAGATCCAGGTACCTGCAGAGAACTTGGAGATCCCCCTTGGACAGCCTCATGAAGAGGTTGTTGGGGAAAAGTGTAGCCTGGACAACATTCCATGGAGAAAGGGACCTGGAAAACTAATTATTAGTAGCATCTGTGCATTTATGAGCAGGACTCCTGCCTTGAGGTGCTGAGAGTTGGGAGACATTCACACTATCAGGAAAAATTAGCCTGGTATGAGATTGACGTTCTGGATAGTTACAGCACCAACATGGGTCACCTGTCAGGGAATGATAAGTGAGGACCAGCTCAACAGGCTACCATTAGTAATGGTGATAGATGACAGCAGTGTTAACAGTGTCAGCTGTCAAGCTTTCAGAAATTTGTGCTGAGCACTTGGTGTGACAATCCCCATGGGGTTCTCACACTGCTTATCCCAACATACAATGAGAATTGTGGTTTTAGCTCAAGTTCTGCACAACTCCACAACCTGCAGTTGTCTCCGAGAATTATTTGTCCCTGTGAAATGAGGAGGGCTGGAGAAGAGAAAGACAATGGGCAGGCACAATGGCCAGAGATCAGGGCCCTAGATCAAAGCTGGGACTGGGTTCCCATGGTGGACAGCCAGGGAGTGTGGTCCAGAAATGGTGGCTGAAGGAGGGAGGAATGAGGAATAGGAAGAATGAGTTGTGGCTAGTGTTAACATTATTGGTTTAGCTGACCAAGTTCCCAGTAGCCCATGCATGTTTCTTTCACATGTGTGATGACCCTTCCTTGAGTGGAGTCAAATTGTCCATCTCCCAGGTGACATTCTGGGTCCTACAACACAAGCACTGGAGTGACCTTTGCCAAGAAAGAACACATAGCAACTGTCCTCCAGGCAGGCTTTTGGTCAACTTTGTGATTTTGGAGAAAACCTTGTCCCACGGGGAACATTTGGAAACTTGTCAAGACAGTAGCTTGAGTTAGTCAATGATACATATATATCTGTATGAAAAACAATATATGTATATTCACACATTTTTAGTGAACTTGAATGACAGGCTTTTGAGTTCATTTTACTTGTCAACAAATGACATTTTATCCTGGTTGATCTGCAAAACTGTGAGAACCCTATTTTATTAATTTATACTTATCTATTCTCATTTGCTACTCTTGTTTCCACTCCCCATGCACCTGTCATAATTCATTCAAAGTGTGTCCTGTTTGCCTGGATTCTTACAACATAGGTCCTGTTGCATAGACATTATTCAGTGCTGGGATCTCCTCTCTGCACTCAGAAATGTGTCATCCATTTTACTGTATTGATGTCAAGTTTGTGGTTCCTAAATTTTCCTTGGATTTCATGATGTGAATTCACCTCATTTTTACTCCCCCACTTTCCCAGCTTGTGAGGTTCTTCAGGCTGCCCCAACTCTGTGCCATCCCACACAATGCTGCACTGAGTGTCCTTGGTCACATCCCTTTACCTGTGTGAGAAGTGTCTTCAAGTGGATTTCCAGGAGCTGTGTGTATGGGTCATAGAGTAAGTGTCCTGTATTTGATGATGA